CTGAGCATGACGTCACATGGTATGGAATGTCCCTTTGGCCAGTTTGGGTCAGCTGTCCTGGCTGTGCCCCCTCCCAGCTTCTCGCTGGCAGAGCATGGGAAGCTGCAAAGTCCTTGACTAGTGTAAGCACTACTTAAGCAACAACTAAAACATCGGTGTGTTATCAACATTATTCTCATCCTAAATCCAAAACACAGCACTGTACCAGCTACTAGGAAGAAAATTAACTCTATCCCTGCCGAAACCAGGACAAGAGGTTAAAAGTCCCTTCACCACGCTGGGCTGAACTTCTCTTCAAAAATGGGTGCTTTTAACTGATTTAATCTCCGAGATAGCTCCAGTTTGTCATGGTGTGGGTACTAAAGGATGGGGCTGGCAAACTTCTGCACTAAGGTCTGCTTCTGAGGTCCTGCTGTCCTGCATGTTTGCAAATCCAGAGCAGGGAACCAAGCTGGGTGCCAAGATGGCCACAGACAGGGGAAGGTAAGAGAAAGACAGAGGCCAAAAAAGCAGCCGAGAAGGTGGGTTAGTATTTAAAAGAGCATTACAGCTCTGAAAAAGTGGGGATCTGTGGGGGAAATGGGGAGGGTGGGATGGTATCACCCCCAAGCAGCACTTCCAAGTAGGCCCTTTTCCCTCCAACATGAGCAATAAGAAAGACTGAAATTGGGATCTGTGTGCCAATCGCAGCCTTCCGAGCCTGTTGGAGTTTCTTGCTGTACGCTGAATCCAGAGCTCCTCCTGGAGGTCCGCAGAGTCCAAGCCCTGCTGCTGACGGAGCTCGCCGCTGCTGCTTGGCACAAACAGCAGTACACCAGGCACTTCAACAACCCTATATACATATAGAGTGTATATATAATAGGTAGTTACAGGGTAGGGTAATATAGTAACCCTACATATATACATACATAGGCAGTCCTAGCTGACTTCAGTTAGATCAGCAGCTGCACCAAGGTCCCTTTGGTAAGCTGAATCCAATCACAAAAGTAACAATAATACATCTGAATATATTTACATATTAAATATATCTGAAGACTTACATGCCTCCTAAAGTGCACATTTTATTTTTTGAGGAAAGGGTGCTAAAGTCGGGGTGGAGCGGGGTCCACATAAATCCTATTTGAACCCACGAAACACTCCTCACCCAGTAAGACAGTATGTCTTTGAAAGCTGATGTCATACCAATGAGAGGTATTCCCATTACCTACATGGGAAAAGACCGCTAGCTCAGATCCATTAGCCTCCCACCTATTTTATTAAACTTAGCTCACTTACACACCGCAGATCCTCAATTTAGAGACACATTGCCATTCAAGTCTAGGAGAATGAGATGCCTACTCTTTGGGAAAGCCAGCTGAATGGGTACCTACACAGCCCCGCTCCCTTAAAAACAGCCTGAGTAACGCCGGCTGGTGAGATAGCACAGGGGGTGTAAGGGGGTTGGGTGAGCGGATGCCCAAACTGTCCGAGAAGGCCTTTGCCCAAAGCTCACCTTGCTAAAGAGGGAGACAACAATCATCAGCTGTATTAGATAGCAACCGGGGAATTACCAGGAGACTTTCCATTGCCGGGGGGGGGAAGTCAGCTAAGCAGACATACAAGCAAAACATGAAAACTTGAGGATGTGGAGTGTGCAGGAGAAGAGGGGAGCAGGGCAGCAGAGGGGCCGGCGTGACCCTGCCAAACGCAGCCACCCTGGTTGTACAAGGATGTTCAGAAATTTCTAGGCACATATTAACATTCCATAACTATATTGTCTAGCTTTATCTGTTGCACTGCAGATATTGATCCCAAGTGTATAGTTCAGCGATAGTCAGTTAATTACATGTTGATAATAAAACAATAAACCACTTAAACTGCGATCAGCTGCACAAACCAGGCAGGTT